TACAAACCCCGATCCACTAAATCCATCCTTCATACAAACCCCGATCCACTAAATCCATCGTTCATACATCCATCGATCCACAAATCCATCGATACAATACCCCATCCACTAAATCCATCGTTCATACAAACCCCGATCCACTAAATCCATCGTTCATACAAACCCCGATCCACTAAATCCATCGTTCATACAAACCCCGATCCACTAAATCCATCGTTCATACAAACCCCGATCCACTAAATCCATCGTTCATACAAACCCGATCCACTAAATCCATCGTTCATACAAACCCCGATCCACTAAATCCATCGTTCATACAAACCCGATCCACTAAATCCATCGTTCATACAAACCCCTAAATCCATCGTTCATAAATCCATCGTTCATACAATCCATCGTTCATACAAACCCGATCCACTAAATCCATCGTTCATACAAACCCCGATCCACTAAATCCATCGTTCATACAAACCCCGATCCACTAAATCCATCGTTCATACAAACCCCGATCCACTAAATCCATCGTTCATACAAACCCCGATCCACTAAATCCATCGTTCATACAAACCCCGATCCACTAAATCCATCGTTCATACAAACCCGATCCACAAAATCCATCGTTCATACACAAACCCCGATCCACTAAATCCATCGTTCATACAAACCCCGATCCACTAAATCCATCGTTCATCATACAAACCCCGATCCACTAAATCCATCGTTCATACAAACCCCACTATCCACTAAATCCATCGTTCATACAAACCCTCCCCGATCCACAAAATCCATCGTTCATACAAACCCCGATCCACTAAATCCATCGTTCATACAAACCCCGATCCACTAAATCCATCGTTCATACAAACCCCGATCCACTAAATCCATCGTTCATACAAACCCGATCCACAAAATCCATCGTTCATACAAACCCCGATCCACTAAATCCATCGTTCATACAAACCCCGATCCACTAAATCCATCGTTCATACAAACCCCGATCCACTAAATCCATCGTTCATACAATCCCGATCCACAAAATCCATCGTTCATACAAACCCCGATCCACTAAATCCATCGTTCATACAAACGCCGATCCACAAAATCCATCGTTCATACATCCATCGTTCATACATCCACCGTTCATACAATCCACTGTTCATACAATTCCCAATCCAAAAAATCCACCGTTCATACAATCCACTGTTTATACAACCACCTATTCATTCAGGCCGAGCACAGTGCACAACGCTATGTAAATGCAACACATACAACCGTTTCAGTTTTAGTTGTTACCCGACAGCATTCATAGAATCAACATTTACATGCCTGCGCTTCATAATTGCCATGATATTTGTGAAATGCACTTGTCCGAACTGAAATATGTAAAATGCCGATAACATATACAGTGTTTGGTATTCAATCACACCTACCTTCCGCCATAGTGAAGGCAACACTTTTTGACTGCAAGGTGAAGGCCGTTGACCCTGCGGCGCGGAATACGATACGATGGACAGGTCAAGGTTACAGAGTGAGATAGTATAACTCTACTGAAGACTGTATCACTAGCATAGTTTGATAATGTATTAACTTATTTATGTCTTAAGATAGTTGCATCCGAGGATAGCATATATATATTAAATTTGTGGATTGTTGGATATATTTATTTGCTCGTTTATTTGTAACGCCGCAATCAGCAATATTCCAGCTGTATGACGTCGGTCTGTAAATAATCGTGTCTGGACCTGACAATCCAGTGATCAACAACATGAACATCGATATACGCATTTGGGATACGATGACATGTGTGAACCAAGTCAGCGAGCCTTACCACATGATCCCGCTAGTCGCCTCCTATAACAAGCATGGGTTGCCTAAGACCAATTCTAACCGGGTCTGCGCGGTCACATCTTACGTCATGAACGTTGTTCTGCTGGACCGTGGTGGTTAACGTAGCAAACCGTAGTTTGATCGTAGTGCCATGTTACCACGGTGTGCTACGGTCAACACAATGGTGCAGTAGGTTCAATGACGGTCTACGAGGGAGAACTAGGGCCAACCACGTTCAAACTACGGTAACAGTAAGGTCTTGGCGATCAAGCTAGCCATAGAGATAGTTTGAATATGTTGAATATTTGTTTTGTTTAACCACGGCCATATCATGGGTTCGCTGAAGTTCAAAGTTTGGTCATAACTACGGTATGATCAAGGGTGAGAAATTACGGGTAGGTTTTAAAAAGCTACGATCACTAGGAGAAGTGGGTTTAAACAACATTTACTCACTCACTTTTTTCTAACGGCAACATTCACAAAGCCGATTAGCTAGGACGATCAATCTATTATTGTGCAGATAAGATGGCGCTTTACCAAAAATATTGTACTGTAACTTAGGTCTTAGAACGTGTAATGTACCCTATCCTGCAATAAAGTATTGTGGCACTCAACAAAACAGACACAGATGGTTAATGTGTTTGGAATGTATATTTATTTATGCTAAACTGTTTCTTTAGTAAAGACGAAATGTGTCATTGCTGTCGCTGACATTACATTGTTACAGAGGAATTCCAGGAAGTTGCAGCTGCGCTCCAGAGAGTCTCTACGTTGAACTACGCTTTAATATGTCTGACTACGTTTAACTAAGGTCAAATACGGGTCTACTACGGTCGCCTACGTTCAACCCCCACCTACGGTCAACAACGTGCGTGTCCGTAAGATATGACAGCCGCTTGACACAAGACGTCCAAGTATTTCTTGACATCCTTATCAGGGGATACAGATTATTGAAAAAAGGAGTTGCACAGTTCATTTTCACCCGTTTTCACATGGAATCGAACCAGTGTCTTTACCGTCTTCGGGCAGACTCTCAGCCCCCTATACCATGTAGTTCACATTTCAGGCAATGCTATTGACAAGCGTGACTATCGTTTACGTCATGAACCGTAAAATCATTTCCATTGAAACACAGGCATCACAATTGTAAATATATATTGAGCAAGGCTAGGAGACATCCCTGTGATGACATCCTTACCTTGTCAGCTTGCTGACGGGGTTAACCTCTTTGGTCATGTGGACAAAGCGTCCGGCTTCGGAACAGAAGTTCCGTGGTTCGAATTACAGAACGTGACTTGGAAATTTTATGGCCGCTACATTGGCGCGCAAAGTGGGGCTGAGCAGTTTCATATAATATTTGAAAATAAGCCTTAGTAACCTGCTATGCGTGCGGCCCGGGGCATGCCTTCTGTTGCCGGGTGAGTAATGCTATGGTTCCAGTGTAAGGACATCAACCTTGGAGTTGGTCTGCATAGATGTCCTTACACTGGAATGATCTAAAGGAGGACAACAGTGTTTACTAGTGGTGACCAATCCATTCACCTGTTACGCCCAGGCTTATCCCTGTCAAGTAGTCGTTTAAAAGAATTATAGATGACCTCGCTCATTTGGATATTTATCGGACTGGTTTATCAGATGAAGACTATCCTTCGCATAACATCTGCATCGATGTTTGCCCTAGGTAGATGGTCTCATTTACATAACTTATCGTACTGGTTTATCACATGAACACTACCCTTCACGTACCATCTGCTATACATAATCTTCCATGCTGCAGTCCCTATCTGTACCAACATTCATTCGGTGCAGGTTCGATTCCAATTTTTGGTTTGTTGGCACCACAAACCAAGTTCGAGATGTCGGGTTTCACAAAAGTGGCAAAGATCGCGGACCTGTGCACAAGAAGTCGAAAAATCCATTTTCTGTCAAAACACATTTGTGTTTAATTGTACCCAACATGTCTCAACCTGTGAAGATCCGGGTTAGAATTGATCTTCAGTTAAACATGCTTGTCGTAAAAGGCGACTATCGGGATAAGGTGGTCAGGCTCACTGACTTGGTTGACACACGTCATCGTATCCTAACTGCGTAGATCGATGATCATGCTGTTGATCACTGGATTGTCTGGTCCAGAATCGACTATTTCTGCTCCAATATATCTTGAATATTGCTGTGTGCAGCGTAAAACTAAACTCACTCACTCACTCACTCACTCACTCACTAATAAACCCCAATCAGATGTTAGACACGACTTTGGAGATTACGCTGGATTTACGCTCATCTGTCAGCAAAAATCGACCGCTCAAGTTACGACATCTCGATTACATACTTTCACCAGCTCTAAACAATCTTCAGTCAGTACATTGACAAGGATCAAGCCTGTGGTAATTATATACACTTGGTTAATTTTTAGATTCATGACCCAATATTTCAGATTTGTGACTGAATTGTATTGTATTGGGAATCTGTACTGTCATTCATTGTAACCTTGTTTTTATTCAATATATAATTGAATGTTATAGATTTGTCTGTGTTCTGTTTGTTGGTTTGAAGGGGAATCACAAGACCTTTTTGTCACGGTAATTTTTAATCCGTAACAGTATCTGTGGTAATGGAGACTGGACGGACGGTTTATCCTCTTTTTGCCACCACCATAAGAGAACGCGAGATGCCAGCATTCACTGGAAATTCTGTATTGCTACATGCCCAGCCACCATCAACACTTCGAACGACGTCATCACAACCCAGAACCATGGACACAAGCATCATAGACAACATCAAAACGCCAGTGAAGTATGCCGATTTGGTATCTCACGTCATTGGACTTTAATTGTTTATAATTGTGAAAGTGGGTAACCTGTATAATAAATTTCTGAATATTCTTAATTTGTACTGTATAAATGTATTAAAAACGTGAGCAAATCTTCAATTCGTGAATTATACTTCAGACACTGTAATGTAAATATTGTGCAAAGTTTAATAATACTTTTATTATACTTAAGAAGCCACCGCCTATTGTTCTTCCAATCAACACGCATGACTGCTTCGCCACCCTTAACAATAGGGTGGTGGCAACACGAGGAGACCCCGGACGGACTACGGACAAATTGCGTCTAAGTAAACTTTGGGGGCAAAGTGCAGTTGAGCCAAACACAAAAAAACTAAAATACAAATAAAACCATATTGATTTAATCAACATGAACATATTGCATATGTGACCTTATCATTAAACGTGATACATAAGAAGATGAAGAAAGTCTTTCTTTACTCATAAACCTCTTAAAATAGTTAAGTTTAAAATATTAAAATAGTATTATTAGTTTTGATATATAAAAAACAACATAAAATTCTTACATGGGCTGAGTACATGATTAAATAATAAAAACCATATTGATTTAATCAACATGAACATATTGCATATGTGACCTTATCATTAAACGTGATACATAAGAAGATGAAGAAAGTCTTTCTTTACTCATAAACCTCTTAAAATAGTTAAGTTTAAAATATTAAAATAGTATTATTAGTTTTGATATATAAAAAACAACATAAAATTCTTACATGGGCTGAGTACATGATTACTTAAAATTCCTTTCATTGATCTCAGCATTACGCCTATGAAGGAAGAACGACCATTCATCACTATTCCAAATTATTACCTGTTGAGTCGAGTTTGAATGTTTGTGTGTATTGGCACTGGGGATAAAATGGTAGAGTACTGTGTTTTGACTTCAGCAAGAAAAATACTTGTTTCCGATTCGTAGAAACAAGCCACGTCCTGCAGAGTCAATGAGAATCATAGTTACAAGTGTCTCAGTGTATCCTGGTAGATAGATTTAACAGTAAACACAAACAATGACTTTACCAGTACCTCACAAACATTGCTCTTTTACCAGTACCTCAGCACCAGAATTTCGAACACTATCGCTTTTTATATGAAGGTGGCACAACACTGCCAATCACAATAACGCCCCCATCACATCATAAGCCGCCACTATCAGAAGGCGTCCCCGTCAGGCATCCCCATCAGGTGTCCCCGTCACTAGGTATCCCCATCAAGAGGCGTCACCGTACAACAAGCTGGCTTTCCCCTTCTTTCTCTCATCAGAGAAGGCGTGCAACTGGCGAGTGTCCGGGTCGCGATATATTGCCTGCAGCACCGCCATGTACGTCGTTCGTGGTTGCAGCTCGTGACCGTATTTGTTGTGGAGTAGGTCCAGGACGCCCTTAAGAAGAGAAGATAATTAGCAACACAAGATGTCTACACCATCACGTTCACCTCTTCCACTCTAAAGACAAAGTTACTTTATTTTTTTAAAATGGTGAAATTGAAAATGTTAAAGATTAAACTGTTTAAATTTCACACATACCTGTGTTCTAACCACTGAGCTAAACCCCCACCCACCCACACCTCCGGCAGTCGTGATGTTATTGAGGTCGACAGATCCGTCACAAAGCCAGAATACCTACAGGACCTCCTTATCCCTTAGGCCCCAGAAAGACAGCTCCGCTCTCAAAATCAGAACTTGCTCTCTGCACCCCGCTATAAACTTGAAACATTTGGCAGGGAATATTTGCTTGTTCTGCCCCACGAATGTGGAACTCTCTCCCTTTGGCCTTAAAATCAGCAGTTGACGTCACCCTATTACTGAACACCCACCTGTTTTCCTCTCATTTCAACTAACTATATTCCCCTCACTGTGCATATGTATATAATTGTAACATGTCAGCGTTTTGAGCATGTGCCTAGTGCATGTACAAGGCGCGTTACAAATGTACATTTATTATTATTATATTATTACATTGTCAAATGACATGACGTATATCTATCTTTCAAACACATAAATTAGATACACATAAATATATGCTCAATCTACACTAGTAGCAAGAAAATAAAAAGGAACAGAACGTGCTTAACTTCTTTGAGTGGCATTTTAAAAGTAGGGAAGTACAATAATGACAAATGTTATGGATAACAACTTCTTCTATTTCGTGAGTGTGACGTTTCGATACAGATTCTTGTACAGTTGTCGACAACGGTACAATAAATTGTATCGAAACGTCCCTCTCACAATGCAATAGAAGTTGTTATCCATAAAGTTTGTCAATAAGAATAGTTACTCAGTCTATGTAAACTTAGGCTCAGTATTCGAGTTTGCGAGTTGTAATAGACGCGACCTTCTATTAGGGTTTGTTAGACTCAGTATAGCAGTGTAACGAATAATACTGAACCTAAGTTTACCTGGACTGATAGCTACTTAAAACTGAAATATGTTTAAGCGGGTCGGAGAATACAACCCGCAACAATGCCAGTATGTAGCAATGGGCGCATGACTAATGGGCTACAACCGTCTAGTCAATGTTAGACACATTACCGGCAGTGCATGCATTCTACCAATCAGCCTACAGTAGTCTCCCATGGAATATGTCACGACTCTCGCTGTAGTGGTCCTAACTGCCTGGAACAGCCAACGTTGAAGTCTTCAGATTAAATTTTAATGCTCAATAGGGAAGTAGACCGAGCTCTCGCTGGTCATCCAAGGATAATGAGTGAGTTTTACGCCGCTTTTAGCAATATTCCGGCAATATCACGGCGCGGGATACCATAAATGGGCTTCACAAATTGTACCCATTTGGGGAATCGAAACCGGGTCTTTGGCGTGACGAGCAAACTCTTCAAGCACTAGGCTACCCCACCGCCCCGTGATGTATTGTAGCCTGTCAAATCACAACATATTTCCAAAGTATAATCCATCGTCCCCTGTTAGTAGCACACACGGCACCCTAAAATACGGTTATAACGAACAGGCTTTACAAGAAACTGACGGATATGATGAACTTGGTTGTTTTGTCCGGGTCACTTGCTGTATATGTTAGGGACCGTTCGTAATTTATGGCTTGGGGGGAATGATAATGATTTTTATGGAGAAGCATGGGCAATGTGACTCCCTCCCCTAAAATTTATGTACAAAGTAAGTGACCCCCCTGCATGTCATGTACAAAATCATTAACCCCACCCTCCCATATTATTAAACATAATGTATTAAATATTTTATGTACAAAACTGATGACCCGGCCAATTAGGCCATTAGGCCGATGTTGAGTTGTCAGGGACTTACCTGATTGAATCCAGGTTCCCACTTGACTTTATCCGGGAACAGCTGATGGTGGAAGCGTTTATGCCTCACTGCCTCCTCCACAGACTGCTTCAACCACAGGATCCTGACGGCCACCTGGGAACAGGTCATCGTGACCCTTACACACACGGGAGTAAAATGGTGGCTAAATGTAAGCCTAGCCCAACACACACGCTGTATAGTTTGAACATTGCAGAGTGCAGTCTTAAACAATAGACAGTGTCTCGTAGCAATGTGAAGGTGGAGCAAGGGCAACAGTATTTGGTAGCCGTGTGAAGGTGAAGGGAAAAGTGTCTGGGTGTGATGTGAAGGTGAAACAAGGGCAACAGTATTTGGTAGCCGTGTGAAGGTGAAGGGCACAGTGTCTGGTTGTGATGTGAAGGTGAAACAAGGGCAACAGTATTTGGTAGCCGTGTGAAGGTGAAGGGCACAGTGTCTGGTTGTGATGTGAAGGTGAAACAAGGGCAACAGTATTTGGTAGCCGTGTGAAGGTGAAGGGAAAAGTGTCTGGGTGTGATGTGAAGGTGAAACAAGGGCAACAGTATTTGGTAGCCGTGTGAAGGTGAAGGGCACAGTGTCTGGTTGTGATGTGAAGGTGAAACAAGGGCAACAGTATTTGGTAGCCGTGTGAAGGTGAAGGGCACAGTGTCTGGGTGTGATGTGAAGGTGAAACAAGGGCAACAGTATTTGGTAGCCGTGTGAAGGTGAAGGGAAAAGTGTCTGGGTGTGATGTGAAGGTGAAACAAGGGCAACAGTATTTGGTAGCCGTGTGAAGGTGAAGGGAAAAGTGTCTGGTTGTGATGTGAAGGTGAAACAAGGGCAACAGTATTTGGTAGCCATGTGAAGGGCACAGTGTCTGGATGTGATGTGAAGGTGAAACAAGGGCAACAGTATTTGGTAGCCGTGTGAAGGTGAAGGGCACAGTGTCTGGGTGTGATGTGAAGGTGAAACAAGGGCAACAGTATTTGGTAGCCGTGTGAAGGTGAAGGGCACGGTGTCTGGGTGTGATGTGAAGGTGAAACAAGGGCAACAGTATTTTGTAGCCGTGTGAAGGTGAAGGGCACAGTGTCTGGTTGTGATGTGAAGGTGAAACAAGGGCAACAGTATTTGGTAGCCGTGTGAAGGTGAAGGGCACAGTGTCTGGTTGTGATGTGAAGGTGAAACAAGGGCAACAGTATTTGGTAGCCGTGTGAAGGTGAAGGGCACAGTGTCTGGGTGTGATGTGAAGGTGAAACAAGGGCAACAGTATTTGGTAGCCGTGTGAAGGTGAAGGGCACAGTGTCTGGGTGTGATGTGAAGGTGAAACAAGGGCAACAGTATTTGGTAGCCGTGTGAAGGTGAAGGGCACAGTGTCTGGGTGTGATGTGAAGGTGAAACAAGGGCAACAGTATTTGGTAGCCGTGTGAAGGTGAAGGGCACAGTGTCTGGGTGTGATGTGAAGGTGAAACAAGGGCAACAGTATTTGGTAGCCGTGTGAAGGTGAAGGGCACAGTGTCTGGTTGTGATGTGAAGGGCAATGATTGTGTTTTGTGTCCCCCACATACCTGAGCATTGACTGTAGAGATCCTGGCCCCCCCAGAAGACCCAATGATAAGTCTTGGATCTCCTGCTCCGTCCACAAATATCGCTGGCGCCATTGACGATAAGGGTTGTTTCCCCGGCTCGATGTAGTTGGGAGGAACTGCCTGAACAAGACCAAACATTTATCTCTGTAGGAAACACCATGGTCCCTAACACACTGCGCATCCTCAGGAATGAAGTGACCGTTATTCCCGATCCGATCATATATATAACTCAACAAGACCTGTAAAAACCCGGGTTAGAATTGGTCCTCAGCAACCCATGCTTGTCGTAAGAGGCAGCTAATGGGATCGGGTGGTCAGGCTCGCTGACGTGGTTGACACATGTCATCCTATCATAATTGTGTAGATGGATACTCGTTGCTGTTGATTACTGGATTGACTGGTCCAGACTCGATTATTTACAAACCGCCGCCATATCGCTGGATTATTGCCGAGTGTGGTGTAAAACAAGCAACAAACCCGACAGTGAGTCTAGGTTAGAGCATCAAGCAACACGCAACAAAAACTAAGTATCCGTAGGGTACCCGTGGTTCCATATAAGAAGAGTGTTGCTATACTGCCGATACAGATGATGTACACACCATAAACATTCATGATATGGTGTTAATGAGGTTAGTTTGACGGTCAAGGATCTTCTCACCTTCAAGCCGTCGAGGTAGGAGACATTGGGAGTGGAGAAGTCCGCCATCTCGTTGTTGAGGATGATCCCCGTAGAAGGTGACACGAGGAGGGAACCGAAGCTACAACAGAGTCAGCATATGTCCAACTGTCCATTATTTTCTGCCGGATTAAGGCCGTTTTAAGTTCGATTTTGATAAAGGATGTAGATATGGGGTAATCCTGAGATCTTCAGGCAGAGCGGTATCAAACTAGAGCAAACTGTCTCATTTTGATTAAAGCGATGTGTACACTGTACAGAAAGTAATATTAAAATGACAATATTTTCCTGAAGGACAGCCTGTGCTGCATCCATGGATTCATCCAGATCTGACCGGTTTCAGAGTGTGGGACAAAATGGCAGACACTGTCACATAGGTTTGTATTTGTAATTAAACTTTTACTTCTCTTACCTCTGCCACTCGGTATTTTGGGATTTTTTTCTTCCAAACAAAAAAAGGGGCAGTGGGGTAGGCTAGTGGTTAAAGCCTCCGCTCCGGTTCGATTCCTCTCATGTGTACAATGTGCGAAGAACCATTTCTGTTGTCCCCCACCGTGATATTGCTCAAATATTGCTAAAAGCGGCGTAAAAACACATTAACTCCAAACAAACATAATTTGAAAAGAGTGTGACGTATACAGCAAGAGGTCTTACTAGTAGTTGATGGTGCTGCATACCGCCACGGCGTCGCCGTTAGGAGCCAGGACGTTTATCTGTGCTGTGCCCTGCTCGTCCCACGGTTGGCCGGTGATGTCGGTGTAGTGGCTGGCGTTGTGGGTCCGTCTCAGGTCGATCTTCTCGCGCAGGGATGCAGCATAGGCAGGGGACGTCATCTTCTTAATGAGCTGTAGGAGGGATGGAGTGAGTGAGTGAGTGAGTGAAACCCACGAGCACAGCATGTGCTGACAAACATAGGAACCACCTGGGCGAACTGGGCGAGTGAGTGAGTTAATATTTAACGTCACATCGGCAATATTTCAGCCATATCGTGACGAGAACATTTGACATTGAAATGGAAGATATAGATTATAAAAACCTGCCGACGAAGGACAGTAAAACAACTAGAATATCACAGATACACATGTAAAACTAATACTTAAATCTAAAACATTTAACTATGGGGGACAACACAATATAAAATAGGCTACAACAACTGAAGGTAGAACACCATACTAGGGACCATGGGGACTTACAGTACATTTGCTTCCTGCATGGACCCTAGCTGGATGGGCGAACTGGGAGTTGAACCGTATGTTTCATATACCTAAATGGCAGCGCCTTATACCACTGGCATACCCGTGTACCTTTCGAACTGTTGGAACATAACTAGAGTAGACCACTGTCTGTACTGATGGACAGCGAAACACGACTAATCCGAGGTCACGATTAGATCATGTCCGAGTTGGATCAGGCCGGAGTGAGTGAGTTCAACGCCGCTGTGATTACTATTTAACAACAACAAATAATAACAAGAACACATAGTAATCAATATCCCCCGCCACAGTGTTCTGTTTCCTATTTCGTTCCTGTTTTTCAACTTCACTTTATATTTATGTCCGTCGGAAAACACATACCACATTTGGTTTCCCCAGCTATAGCAGTTACTCAGAAAATCTGTTCCCATTGGGATAACGTGCACTAAGTCTAGAGAGGGCCATGACAAGGGACATAACTATGTAACAAATAGTAACACTGTTTCCGTTTTCGACCTCAATCAAGGCATTCATGTCCTGAAAAAACATACCAAATTTGGTTTTCCTATCTATAACGGTTTTTGAGAAAATATGTCCCCAACATCTCGGATGGACGGACGGAGCTCAAAACTATACCCCCCTCCCACTTCGTGGCGGGGGATAATAATAATAAACTTTGTTAGTTAAAATTTGTTTGTTGGCTTGTCTGTTGTTTAAAGCCGCACTCAACAAAATCCCATAAGGCGATGGTTTCTAAATAATCGAGTCTGGAACAGACAATCCATTCAGTGATCATGAGCATCGATCTACGTAATTGGGAACCGATGACATGTGTCAATCAAGTCAGCGAGCCTGACCGCCCGATCCCGTTCACCGCCTCTTACGACAAACCAATTCTAACTTGGATTTTCAATGGTATTTCCTGCGCCTAGAGGTGAAGCAAATATTCGCAACAATAACTTGCAGACATTACAGTAACAAACGATTCAATAACGACAGACAAACCAGTGATTGATAACATGAGCACCATTATCAGCAAGGTCCCACATTGTAAATATACTGAACCACAAAAGAAACGTTACTTTTTTCACACGGTGGTGTTTGTATAATGATAATACCGTTTTGTCAAAAACAAATTCTATCCAAAATGACAGTTTGGGATATCGACCAAACGCACATAAAAAGGCAGACGTATGACATTCGGGTGATGAAAATGCACCTGCATATCGTGACAATCCTACCTATGAAAGCGAGTCCTAAACTCGCCCGAAATCATTCTTGTTTCGACACAATCGCCATACCACGACTAACGAGAGACAAGAGGAACCAAGCCTTGGGACGACTGCAAGTTGGTTGGACTGCGCGGAGGGTAGTCAATCATTTTAATGTTCATGTTAGGACAATCTACCGACTGTAGGAGTGGTATCAGGTCTCTAACAGCATCCAAGACTGTCGACGCAATGGACGACCTTCAGTACCATCACAACGTCAAGACTGACAGTTTGTACGCAACCATCTGCTCACCAGAGCGACGGAAACAGCACACCAGACCATTGGGACTCACAACAGACCCATCAGTGCCGATACAGTGTGTTGCCATAATCGCCATACCACGACTTGAGAAATCACAGGAACCAAGCCCTTGGACGATTGCAAATTGGTCAGACTGCAGGGAGGGAAGCCAATCATTTTAATGTTCGTGTTAGGACAATCTACCGACTGCAGGAACGGTATCAGACCACTTACAGCATCCAAGACCGTCCACACAGTGGACGACCTGCAGTAACATCACAACGTCAAGACCGACAGAGGGTCGCTTCACCAAAAAGAAGGAAACAGCACGCCAGACCATTGGCACTCACAACAGACCCATTAGTGCCGATACGGTGCGTCGACGTTTGCGCGAAAAAAACATCTTCCAGCAAGACAACGCCCACACTGCCAGAGCAACAGTGGAATTCCTAAGACAACATGGCATCCAAGCCCTACAATGACCTGCACTCAGTCCGGATTTACGTCCAATAGAACACCTTTTGGACGAGATTCAAAGAAGACTGAATGACCTTCAACCAAGGCCGACAACTCCGGCTGGACTCGATCAGGCATTAAGCAGAGTATGGACCCAAGTGCCTATGGCCTTCATCAACCGGGTAATTCATTCAATGTACAGACGATGCAACGACGTCATCGATGCCCATGGGGGCCAACACAATACTGACTTTGAGGTATCCCAATGGTACTATGTTAGGTGATTTTGTTTGTGTGAACTCTAAATGTGATTCCCGAAAAAGTGTTAACCATAATTGTCAGGTTTAAACTCAATCCTCCGTTTTGAGTGTTAATTAGAGCGAATTAAAGTGTGTGGTTTACGACACCTCTATCGCTGTGGCGTTTATTTTGCGGTTCAGTATATATATCAATGTTATACAGTAATACTAATCCATGACTCGCAACAAGTAAGAACAAGTTGTAATACATTTTCGACCATTATTTCATAATATAGCATTACAACTGTCTTTAACCAATTAACTCATCCATGGTTATGGCCGTGTATGTACGTGTCTCACATCATGTATCTGTACGAAGTGCGGGTCCCCCAGTTTCAGTCTATCTGCATAGGCAAACTTGAAAGCCTCTATTATCTTGTGGTATGTGGCCGCCTCGGCTGCCGGGGTTTCAATGTCAGCTGGGGTGAGGTTAAAACCTGGAATTGAAACAAACAACGAAAGAGGAATAGTGCTGTACAGTCCATCGTTCAGAGGAAAAGCTGAATATGCGCCGTAAAATCGTTACATGGTAACCGTTGCTGACGAATTAAATTCAATCATTCGTTGATGAATTGACAGAAGAATTGCAATTGGATTATTGTCTCACGTCGTTTATATGCAATGTTCCAGCAATATCAAAATGCAGTTCTTTAGACATTTACATGATTCTTTTGTAAAAACGCTGTAATACATTTTAATAGACATATTCGCCAAATATTAAAATAGGAGGGAAGTGGGCTGCCAAACTTAAGGCCTACCTTAAAAACGCAAAATGTTCAAATTATGTTTGTCCCTTTATCAAATTTAGAGAGCAGTAACATTCAATCAATAGTCACCATGAGAGGCATGCATCGTGGTTCCAGTAAACATCTGTAATATCGGTTACAGTTACAAGGACTAATGTACCGCCAGACATTGCGTGATCGCGGTATAGGCATCAACAGACAAGTGTGGATGTTTCATAGGACAGTAGTATGGTAGCAGCACATTTCCGAGGTGACGTAACGTGACGCAACCTCGAAAATATGCTGCTACACTGACGTCATACACGTATGACGTCACGACGATAGGTCCCGTGACGTCACGACCTACAAACGAAGGTCGTGACGTCACTTGATGGTGACGCAACCTCGAAAATATGCTGCTACACTGACGTCACGCCCTACAACGACGGTATTGACGTCACGTGGTCATTCAACCGTCACAAATAAGGGAATGGTCATCTAATACGTGTTCGTGCATGTACGTGTGTGTGTGTGCGCGCGCATGTGACATCTACTAATGACGTCACACAAACAAAAATGGAGACCATAAGAATCCATCCGTCAAGCTAAATTCTCAATTGCTCTCAGACGCGTTTTTACCTCATAAATGCACCATTAGCGTGCCAATAATATTTGAGTTTTTGAAGGAGGCTAGGGAATCTCGTGCTGTCTATGTAAAGCTCTCTACAATACTAGACCGCAAGAAACACCTAGACACTCTTAATCACACGACCACCCCGTCTGTGTAAAGCTCTCTACAATAATACAAGACGGTAAGACGGTGATATTCTACATGAAACAAAATGTGAGGTAGAAAACGGCAAAACAGCAAGAGTGGTACCGAGTGTTACGTTCTTTACCTCGTATCGTAAACCCAAAGCGGGAACGAATAATAATTTTGAAGGAGGTCTGTAAATGTCGTACTGCCAATGTAAAGCTCTCTACAATACTAGGCAGCAAAACAAATGTAACAAGACACTCAAAAATAACACACCCTCCAGTTTATTTAAAGCTCTCTACAATACAACACGGGAAGGCGGTTATATTCTACCAAATACAACAAAGAAGATATTGAGTCGGACAGTCTATGTAAAGCTCTCTACAATACTAGACCGCGCGAGCACCGTATCCCTCGTTGTTTAACCACCCCAAAATATACCCACGAGGTAGACAACGTCAACACTTTTATATAAAACACAACGGAGACTAGTAAAAAACAACATTTCACAAATTTTATTCGTAAATATGCACAACTACATTTCTACTCACAAAACAGTTGGGAGACCATATTTCCCGTCCACCGACAAGGTGTCTTCGTTTCCAGAGTGTGATGATGGCGATACTTTTCCCTTCTTATTGAAGAAAAGTTTACATCTTTCTCCATCCCTCTGCTCATTATACGATTCGGGAACGTAGCAGCAGGACATCGTGGTACGGAGCACTCAAAATATACAACCTCACTCTCAGACGGCTTCTAACTAGCTACTGCGTGTCGGTGCTCGTGATACTCTTGTCACCATCAGCGGTTACGTGCGAAAAAGAATAGGGGGCGTGACCTAAGGGCGCCTCGTCCTGCCATTGGACGGTAAGGGGTCAAATCCCGGTCCTGGACATAATTATACCTATTACATCAAACACGGGCGTTATCGCCGTGGGTACCTAGCTGCGTAAGCGTCTTGGCACTTCTTGACCTAAGCAGTGCATTTGACACCATCGATCATTGCAAACTCCTGGAACGTCTGAGGTTGGAATTTCTCATCGATGGAACAGCTTTAGAGTGGTTTAAATCATACCTGACCGATAGAAGTCAGTGTGTAATCATTGACAAGTTGTCATCTGACCCATCATATCTTACGTGTGGGGTTCCACAAGGATCCGTCTTAGGACCGGTTCTTTTCACCTTGTATATATAGGAGCTTGGAAGTGTCGTGGAAAGACATGAAGCGGACAGACATCACTATGCTGATGACTCTCAAGTCTACAGATCCATGGAGTCAAGGTCACTTCAGGCGCACAGGGCTTTGAGTGAATTGAGCACTTGTTGTGAAGACATCAAGGCGTGGATGCATTACAACAAACTAAAACTGAATAGTGACAAGACGGAATGCATTGTCCTAGGGCCACAAAAAAAGGAGATCACAGTGTGGTCTTACATGTTTTAAGTTTGATAATACAAACATCAAAATCGCTGACAAGGTCAAAGACCTTGGTGTGATTATCGACTCAGATGTGTCACTGGATGATCACGTTTCCCATCTAGTCCAGAGCTGCTTTGCTCAGTTGCGTACTATTGGACATATCCGACCATATCTCACCACCGAATCTGCCACCACTCTTGTCCTGTCTCTAGTTATGAGCAGGATTGATTACTGTAACTCCCTTCTCGCTGGTGCCACTAAGACACAGATAAGGAAACTTCAGCGTGTGCAAAACGCTGCTGCACGTATAGTGACCCAGTCACGTAAATCTGATGACGCTCTGAAACTCCTACATTCTTTACACTGGCTGCCCATTCACTATAGGATTCAATTCAAGCTTCTGTGCCTCACTTTCCGCTGTCTGTCTGGATCTGCCCCCTTCGTATCTGGCCCAGTCCCTCACACAGCACCGCCCATGTCGCTCTCTCCGTTCACAGGATAAACGTTTCCTCGTTATCCCCACTGTTAGGACTTCTACGTATGGTGAAAGGTCCTTTTCGTATGCAGCCTCTACAGCCTGGAATCAACTACCTCAATATCTACGTGATTGTACAGAACTTTCTAATTTTAAATCTTTACTAAAGACGCACTTTTTCAGATTAGCTTATGAGTGTACACTATAATTCATTGCATTGTTTCCATCTATCTCTCTAATCTTTAATTCTCTGCTATAGTCTGTTTGTATGTACATCTATGTCTTGCGCTTTGAGCATGTTGTACATGGAGAACAGCGCATTACAAGCATGCTATTATTATTATTATTATTATTATTAAAAAGCCACGCTTAACACCTCTTTATATGGTTGGCTAGTAAAATCGGTTTGCTTCGAGACGGCGGCGTGGGAAAAAAAATCGAGAACATTCCTACAGCTCTATCAATAACCTAATTTTTCCCTCGTCAAAATCCATGGCTCTTAAAGTTCCTGAGTATACTCTTCTTGGTATTATCATGCCATCTGAAAACCATGGAAGCGTATTACTTTTACTGAAATGGTGACCGCAAGCTACCGACGACAGGCTTTGTACACGAACTCTTTTGTAGGAATAATGCAAACGACCGTATTTTGCCACAAAATCGTGAAATTCGGGCCATATTCGTGTGTAATCTATACCGTACGAGTCGTGCATGTGTAATCTACCCGGTTCGCTTTTTCTGTCCGTGTTGCAAATAAACAGTATAGGATATTCCAATCTCTTCACCCCACTACAGTCTATTTTATTACCACACACCTTTACCAAAGTATCTCTGCTACTTATACCGCCATAGTTGTTTTTAAGAAAAGGCTCATTACGTCCAAACTGTATGGCGAGCTGTAGTCAGTATGGTTTGAGAGTGATATACACCCCAAAGGTCCCGAAGGGTAATTGAGCGTGTCCGCGTTGTAGACATGACCATACACGTCCGACACGCGCAGCAGGAAGACGAAAATCGCCTCTATTATCTTACGCACCATATGTCCTCGGTTTATCGTATATTCCTGCTGATGGGTCTAACCACCCCTTATTACGCAATCGTTTCGACCACCGCGTGTGCCGAAGCCTTCGAAAATAACCCCTACGTACATCGTTAATCGGCCTAACTGCTCTAATCGTCCCCTATTATACACAATCGTGAGTGTCCACCCCGTCGTCTCTACACCCTTCTCCTTCGAAAATAATCCCCTACGTGCGTCGTTAATCGGTCTAGCTGCTCTAATCGTCCCTGTTATACACAACCGCGAGTGTCCACCCCGTCGTCTCTACACCCTCTCCTTCGAAAATAACCCCTTACGTACATCGTTAATCGGTCTAGCTGCTCTAATCGTCCCCTATTATACACAGCCGCTAGTGTCCACCCCTTCGTCTCTACACCCTCTCCTTCGAAAATAACCCCTACGTACATCGTTAATTGGCCTAGCTGCTCTAATCGTCCCCTATTATACATGACCGCTAGTGTCCACCCCCGTCGTCTCTACACTTTCCTCGAAAATAACCCCTACGTACATCGTTAATTGGCCTAACTGCTCTAATCGTCCCCTATTATACACAGTCGTGAGTGTCCACCCAGTCGTCTCTACACATTTTCCCCTTCACATAGACTTACCTACCGTCTCGAAAATAGCCTCTACATACATCGCCAACAGGTTTAATTGCCCTAATCGTCTCTAATACACAGTCGTGCGTGTCGTCGCCGTCGTCTCACCAGTTTTCCCAAATAAACTCGCGTAATATCGCGAAAACTACATCCCCCCATCTTACACGCCATTTCTCTCTGCCTGTGTCTTCCATTGTGTGCGTTGACGCGATAATCCTTTCAACTGCGGTCGTAGGGCAATGCCACCACAGGCGGTTTTAAGAAAAGGGTCAGTATTGCCAGACCATTGCAAATCTCGCCCCGTACAGTATTTTAGATGGAGAGGTAAACTGCCCGTCATCTGCATTAGTGTATAGCAGTACTGCTAAAATGATCACATTGTATTATATACTGTCCAACTC